GAAGGTTATAGTCATGTTTGCAGTGGCATGAACCAATGCTTGTCTCTCATCGTACTGCACCTTCCAAATAAAAGAAAACCATTTAAAATTGGCCAAAAGGGATTGAACTATTCCTTGGCACAGACGTATCTGTCAATAAGGTTTAAAAAGTCAAAGCAATCAATCATTTTAAACCACCCATTTTGGGGCTATAAAGGCCTCTGGTGTGGGCAGAACTGGGGCTGATGCTTCAGCCAAGGACTAACAAATGGAAACAAATGCAATGGAGATCCAGAGTATTTGGTTTCCTACGTGGAGCATTTCTGAGAAGGAAGGTCTGTAATGAAATCTGATAGGGAGATTAACTGTGTTTGAGAAACACTGACAACATGATTTAGATTTTCATTCAAGGTTTTCATCCAAACTGAAGCTAAGAGACTGGTCTAGAAAATCGTTTAAGAGATCTGAGATTAATATCTACATCAGGTGCAAAATAAATCAATGGTGACAGGTAGTATGGCGGCCAAATAGAGGTGACGGGAGGGAGATAGACGGAAAATCACGAGTGCGAGGGGGAAAATAAGACATGATGAAAGTGATGTATTTAATAGAAACAGGAGGAACGAGAAAACAAAGCACATGTAAATCTAAATCAGGTGAAGTCTAAACATAAAGAACTATCTCAAGACTCATATTAAGGAAATCATTTCACACTATGTGACAATAACGAGAAGGTATTTGTACTGTAGATTACTGTACTGGATTTCAAAGATGGATGGAGGCACAATAAGCAACAAAAGTGGAATCAGCTGCACCGGCAATCACAAAAACTAGGAATTTGTGCAGGCTTTGTAGACACACTTCAGTCACAAAAGCAGTTGTATTCTAAAGATATTGGTGATGCTAACTGAACATAAGACGCTACCTCTGAACAGGCCACATGTTAAAAACATCCCTTTTTTATCTTTGGTCATGGCTTTTTATCTTTTGGTTGATCCTTTCAAGTTCAAACAGATGTTACAGGAAAGATCCATTGGGATATACAGTAAATAAGTTGAAAGCTATTTTAAAAAAGTTTCCGTATGTGGGTCTGTGTGTCGGGGAGAAAAGCATTAGGTTGATGCACACAAGGTCTCCAGGGAGCTCCTTTATTTTTGGAAGCACAGAGGAGATGTACTCATATTCAGTGTTCCTGTCTAGTAGTTTTAGTCACCTCTCCTACTAGATTTCATTTGAAGGGGATACAGAGGAAATAGCTAAAAGAATAGCAGTGATAGTTATAGTTCCTGGTCCTGAATAGTAGTGAATTGTTCCAGCACAGCAAACAAAAAATAAAATGTGAGCTTTATTACAAAGAAAACAGGAGTGATCCTTCGGTTACTGAGCAGTTTCACTGTCCATAACTGCATCTATTACAGTTGTTTTTTGGGGGGGAAAGGAGCAGTCTTTGGGAGAAAAAGAATAATGGTTTAAGTAATTGTTAATCTGTCCCTCATCCACAGCTCCTTGAGGCATCCTTTTGAAATGTGGTGAATCATTTCTTCAAAAGATTTGCAAAAAATTCCTGTGTGCTTAACGTGCTCTGGTGTGCCTAGGAGGTGGTTGGAGGTTGAAAGAGCCTGGCATCAAGCCTCGGTTCAAAAGGCCATCAAAGCCATTACTGTTTGCTGTAGACCTCATTGGTGCCAGGTGGGCCAGTGTTTGCTGAAAGTGTAATGTTGTGCCATTATAAACATTCCCAAAGCTCATTCTATCACACATTCCTGACAGTATAGATTGCACTGTACACTGGAAACTTCATGGAGCCTTATCTGCATTCTTCAAAAAAGTAATTTAATCTTTTATCAATATCAGTAAGGCTGCTGACATGCAAGATGAGAAGTGGTTTGTTCATTGTTGATAAAATGGACCTCGAAGAGAGAAATCAAAGGGCTGTGCTTTGGGAAAAATCTCAGTAAGCCAAGATGGATCTAGCTGGACTTGACCTAACACCCTGATTAAACACCAGGGAGGGACTAAAAAAGGGTGTCTTTCACCATTTCCACTGAAACAAAGACCCCCTGTTTCAAAACCCCACCTAGGGACACATTCAATGCTGTTGATGCACGTCCACTCTTGGAATCCATCGCAACTGCTGACATGACCGGTCCTTTAACACATGTTTTCATTCAAGCCAGCATCAGCACTTCCTTTACAACACATTTCCAGATATGATAAAATTAGCTTATTCACATCGAGTCAGCGAGTTCACATCGGCTGAGTTCACTACTCAATTATGTAAAGTATCTGGACCGCTAATCAATGACAGATGTGCAGTAAGTTCTTGACGTCTGCTTACACACCCCATCTTTGTTAGGTAACACCTCATTTAACCTCCCATCTGAGGTTGACAGCCTGACGGGCTGCACAGTAATGCTGAGGTAATTAACAGATCCCTGCGAGGTTTAGACACCCTTCAGCCCTAAATATGATTCTCCAATTTGTTCAGCTCCAAAGGTCATAAATTATAGGCAACTAACTATTTGTCTCAAGTGTTCTTTCCTGTTCAGATGGCAACTGACACGGCAAAGTCTAAACAAGAAGTGTGAAAGGGATGATATTAATCAGTTAAATTTAATGCAACATTATGAGATAACATGGTTGGGCAATATGGTGACATTTATCGTGAGATGATATAAGTTTGTCAACTGTCAGACTGTTTTTACCTTGGCTGTTTAATATCTTTGGTTGTATGAGAGTAGAACTGCAACTAAGGATTATTTCAATTTTAAATTAATATGTTGATTGTTTTTACAATTTAATCGTCTTCAAACTGCTTGTTCTGTTCAGCCAAAACCCAAATATATGTAACTTACAATAATATAAAACAGAGATAAGCTGAAAAAGTGTTTGTCTCATTTTTTTCTTGATAACTGACTAAAGAGATTCATTGATTTTCTGGCGATCAACTAATCAATGAAATGCTAAATTGTTTCAGCACGATCTGTAGGCAGCGTTGCAGAACTGCATCATAGCAATATTGGATATTTGAAGGCAAATGGTAGCAGGGCGCAAGCGCCATATGCTTAAGTCTTGTATTTGCATATCTGCAGTGATAAACACTATAGCATTAGTTATTAATTGGCATGCATCTGCCATGAGAGGGTGCTCTGGTTTTGTCTCGTTTCGTTAATCGTCACGCTTGGGTGATCAACAACTGGTGCACTGCTAAAACTTTCCTGGTAAAACTGCATAAATAGGTTATTTTGACAGTAATTACTTTAGTCATAGGACATACCAAACCAAACGCCATCTACCGAATCATTTTCGGGACATTCTTGTCTGGTTATTTTAACTATACACTGTTACATTAAAGCCATATAAAATTACATATATTCTGATAAATCATTTCATCCATATTGACAACTCCTAACAGGGACACCTAAGAAATGTGATGATATCTGCCAAAGTGTTTGGTTGTCCAGTGACTTTATTGCCCACTTGGAGAAAAGAGTAAAAAACTGCGAGTGCTAATCTGTACAGCTGGATATTCACTTATAATAACCAGGTTGCTGAAATGCTCAGGGCCACAGCTGAACAGCAGCTGGCCTCCACTAATCTCCAACCTACAAACCTCCTTTTCAACCACAACACTATTAATTCTGATACAAACATGACTGAAAATGGGTTGGGGTAGAAGCACAGGTCAGGCTTGTGTACTCCATGACACACAGTAAATACATGAAGCATCTTGAAAAGCTTGAGGGCAGAGGTCACTGCTTCAAGAAAATGAGAAAATTCACAAATATGTTAAAATGAATAACTAATTGACAGGTCTCCCAGCCCTGCCCCCATGTGTCTATGTCCATTCATGTAGAAATGCAGTGTGTAGAGAATAGAGGGTGTAAAGAAAAGAAGAGGAGGTGACAACAAGAAACTAGCTGGACTAAATGAAGAGCTGGCAGAGGTCCACAACAGCTACAGCGGGGCTACTACTGAAACTATGTTCCTGTGCTTGTACATTATCACCTGAGAAGAGATAGTAGCATTCAATCAACATCACAACAAGCATCTTTACACTAAAGCTCAGAAAGTATAACTATAAGACGTATGAAACATCTAAACATTTGTGGTTAAAAAAGTGGGTATTAATTGAAGGTCTTGCAATTGTCGGTTATGACGGTAGTTTTTGTGTGAGGAGGGCGAAGGTATCATCAAGCTACTAGTGATACCGACGAAACTTTCTTCTGTGTACCAACGTGGGGAAAGCAAATTCTAAAAGGACTGACGGGACTGTCCAGTTTGTCACCACCCCCACTGGTCGGCCCTCGCAATCACACAAAGGACCTATTGTTACGCACAATGGGGTCACCCTCTCTGTTCTCGCTGGTCTGATCCCAGTCAGTCACTGCTCATAGAGCCTGGAAGCTCGCCATGAAGCAGGCAAGAATCTTTGAAGACATCATTTTGAGGGGATTTTTAGGTTCGGAAATTAATTAAAACCGATTAGAGTGTCACTTTAACTCCAAAATATTCAACCTTAAAAACAACTGTGAACGTTATACAAAAATGATGAATGTCAGAACTAAGGAACTAGTCATATTTGTATGGATTAAAAGAGACAGATGCTTTTCTCCACGTTTTGGCCCATTCTTCAAATTACCAGCAAAATCACAATGATTCCACAGAGATGTGCCACCAAAATGCTGTGGAGACTTTAGGTTCTTGGTCTTCTTAAAGACCAGGTAGCATTGACAAATCACATCTGAGAAGATGGGACTCAGAATACAGGTCAGTGAGAGTAATAATAACATAAACCCAACCACCCTACCTTGGCATTTAAAGGAGACACAACAGGCAGGGTGTAATAATAATAATAATAATAATAATAATAAAATCAAGCTGTAACACATACCTTTTGAAGCCATTACACTGACATTCAGTGGCATTTAATGCAAGTTAAAGTGGTCATTCTTGTATGTGAGGTGGACTGAGGTAGATAGGAAGCAACCATATATAGCAGTAACAACACTCAGACTTACCTTGTAGCATGCATCTGTATGCAGACTCTGAGATGGCGTAGATATGAGGGGGCATTTCGTGCCTCTTTTTGCCCCTGTACATCTCAATGATGTTGTCTGAGTAGATGGGAAGGTTTTTGTAGGGATTTATGACCACACAGAAGAGACCAGAGTATGTCTATAAAAAGAAAAGAAAACATGGTTGACTGTTAATTCATCACACAACTGTTAATATTTTATAATATTTCACCATCTTTACCATTGAATCTACTAAGCACTAAATAGACAGCGAGTACCGGACAATGCAACCTGTGGAGATTCAAATACAATTGTACATTTTTATTGCTATTATAATGGTTCTGGCTCAGATGATGGGAAATTTATATGATTATGAATTACCGGGACAATGAAATCACAGCCGAAAAATGATCAGTCCACAATAATAATTAATTTTGAATTATAATGCAAAACGATTGATATGCTTTATGTTCTGTGAAAGACAAAGTATGATGTTTGATGAACTTAAATACATGAACATCTGAGTCAGAACTGTGGTTAATAGTAGAGACGTCAGTTGAGAGCTATGGAATATTAAATTATCAATTTTTGCTCATCTTAGCCTTTCATGTCATCAAGTGTGTAAAAACTACAGGTTAGGTATCAGTTATCTAAAAAATCCATATCATGCATCCCTAATACCTGTGAATATTATATTCCAGTTCTGCCAATAGATAAATGTTACACTTGTTTCAGCTTGATGAGTGTCACCTGCTCATGACAAGGTGTGCATTTGTGAGATTTTGATATTTTGAATAATGGACATCCCAAGATTGTCATATTCTCTAGAATATTGAGCAGTTAATATTTCATTTTAGTTCATTTCCAAACTCTAAGTTCATTCAGAACTACAAGTACAAAAAAACTGGTGAATAACTTTTAATTCTCTTAAATCACTCGTACACTATGTGCCACTTTTGAACGAATCTGTTTGTATGAGTGGTTCTTGCATGAGGTCCGTATTGTGTTTATGAATTCATGGATCATGCCAGAAAACTGTGCATGGCTGCAGGTTGCTGGCACACTGCCAAGTATCCTACAGTATTTAAGATTCTTGCCCCGCTCACTTATCCTCCTTGTATGTGGCAATTCTCCATTTTCTCCTTATTAAACTGGTGGCAATTTTACCCAGACAGTCTTTGACTGACTAAAGAAATCAGATGCACGGGATGGTGATTTTAATCCACGACAGTATATTGGCCCCTCAGCTGTATAATGCAGACAGACATGCAGTCAGACAGGCCAGGACAGGGTTAATCCCTGTCATGTCTGCTGCTGCTGGAACACTCCATTAACTCAAGAGTCCATGGGGTACACAGTATACAGTAAGGATTAAGGCTTTTTAAATCACACATCAGTGACTGGGATCAAAAGTCTGCCAGTCATGCCAATAAAAACTGAAATTATAGCCATCTATCCTGTCATAATCACGCTTCAAATTTAGATGAAAAGAGGGTGTCCACAGACTTCTCTTCCTCCCTCTGCTGACCACTCCTGTCTGACTTTTACTGCTCTTTACTCTCTTGCCTCATCCTCATCATCCTGTATTAGCTATAACTGCTTTCCTTGTGCTTTTTACTCCTTTACGCTGCATTCCTCCCCCTTTTTTCACCTTTCTGATCTCGGTGCTCGGCTGGTCTGCAAAGCCACATTCTTTTAATTATGTTGTCTGTGGCGGCCAGTGGGCTCCAAGGGGGCCCAGCTAACCCAGTTGCTGAACTGGAACAATGGTGCCATGACCAAAGCATGTTGTGGGAGCCGAGTGGACTTTGTGTGTGTGACTGAACGAGAGAAATACCTCTGACAAACACATCTCAACTGCCACCTGGCTGGAGGTTCACACCACACCTTCACACATACACAACACATAACTGTAGTCTGATAAATCACATTGTGATGTTACTGCAACACTCAACCAGGGTTGGGCAATAATAACAGAAGCTCTATTAGCTGTAGTCAGATATATTATGAAGGATTTTGTTGCAATAAAACACCCAAAATGTAATTAATGTAGTCTACCAAACCTTCACACAAATGATTTAAATTAAATTCAACCACTGCTGGTAATGGAGTAAAATTTGGCTAAAACTGTATCCCTCTGAAAAATACATATGCAAGAGTAACACACTTGAGGGATGTTACTGGTGGTGGTCATGTGGTGCTGTAGCCCCCGTGTGTGAAGGGTGGGGGGTAATGTCACCAGATGGCTATCAAAACAACCCCTCTTCACCTCCTCCATGTGCACAGATGCTTTAGACACAGCTCTGTGCTGCAACCTGGCCACATAGAGATTTGTTGCTCAGGATTCACCAGCAGTGACATTGTTCTACATTACCGATTACTGAGGCAAATACTTACACCTTGCTAACAGTAACTGCCTGTAAAAATCACCTTCGTGCAGCTCAGGATGAACTATAGAACCGTCAACAATAATCACCACTTCCCAGGACCCCTACAGTGGGCACAGCACCAGGCAGACAGATCAGACCCAGCATGGGCCACAGGCACTGAGGAGAGGGATGACTCAGCTGGCTGTCCTTGATGGTGGACCCCAGGGGGTATTTGGGGATTAATCGGGCTCTGAGGGCAAGGGGTTGGACACCTACACAACCAGGAATAACAAGACGCCAGCCGGCCTGTTGTGGTTAGTTCCTTTCTCAGAATGCAGAGTTTGCACAAAGTAATGTCTACTCACAGGAAAGTTACAATTACAATCAACAAAGGCTGCTGATAGCTGAACTAAACATGAATCTTTGAGTACATAACACAGGTTATTTTGAGTTGATAAATGAGCTGGGCAACACATCCCTGCAACCAAGAGAAACTATGATTAACAGAGGAGAACTCTGACACAGTTGAAAGGATTCCCAGCCCTCCGGAAATGTCCAAATAAATGTCTGTAACCCAAGCAGTGCTTAGCAACAGGGCCTCGGACTCTCTCAATGGGAAAAAGGGGAAACATTTTCTGGGGTCTCCGCTATTGTATGAATCAGTGCCCTCCATTCTGACATAACTGGGCTTTCATTTATGTCTTTTGAACCCTTAAAACCATGGCTGTATCTCTGCACACTTCCCAAGGAAATGAAGAAATGTATTTGCTCCACACAACACATTTTAATTATTTCAAATGGTACCCAGACAGTCCGTGAAGATTCTCATCATAGCTCTGTATTTGCTCTTAATCTCACTGAGCAGCACTTGATTAAAAGGACGAACCTGTCATCACTGTGTGCTTTTGACTGCTTACAAGAGGGAGCTAACCTAAATTCAAACAGCTTTGACAGCTGACAGGAGGGGATGCTATGTGGCTTAGTGTAACAAAGAAGACAAAAGTGTAAAAAATAAAATAATTACTATATAATCTGAAGAAAATACAGCTGGAAACATCTCAAAGGGGCCTCCATCAAGCAGCATATCTCTAGTGTATAATCTGGGGAACATGGATCTGTGAGTCACTGAGTTGGGTTTTACCAAAGTATTTACCTCTAGAGAGGATAGAGAAAGCCCAGCACTCTGGTAAAATAGTCACAATCAAGGCTGTGGTTGGAAGAAATGTAGTTGTTATTACCATTAGTGGTGATTTCTAATGCTATGACTGTGCTCATCATGGTCTAGATGTGAATGGAGACCAGCAAAGCTACCAATATTATAGTGTAATCAGTATATGGACTAAAAGCTCTGACAGGCCTCATTTTTATTAATTTTTTTGATAAAAGACATTGAATAGAAAAATAATTTTGTGTCCAGGTTGTGAACAGAAGAGCTGCAGTCAGAGACAGGGTTAATGAACAGAGAAACAGCCTGCCAATAAAGGCAAGTAAGTACCGTATCCATATAAAGCTCTCAGCCTGGAGCTGACAACCACCCTCTTCAAGAAGTACACTCTGCACCACCAATCAACAAAGGATGAGCATATAGTGGGCTGCATTTAATAATACATCACTGTCACATCATTACTATATCCAGTCCTCCTTTCTCCTGAGCAACTGGGTTGAACCATATTCGGTCAACCATGCTAACGGGAAAGCCAGGCATGACATCCTATAGCCATCTAAATTTCATGTTCCTAATATAAGAAGTTACTCATTTTTGAGTCCATAAAGTCCCTCCTACTTTTGTCTAATGTGTGTTTTTATTTATGTTAATTTTATCACCTCTACGTCCATCCACTGCTGTGTGGATGGTAGTCATCAGAGAGGTTATGTCAGCACTATGCTATGCTGGTCTGACTTAAAAGGTCACACAGCCCTGAAAAGCAGGACAGAAAACATGTAGAGTCAGGAATGCCAAAGCAAATGACCAACAGAGGTCTGCATGCATGCAACTCAAATCTCTTAAACCTCCTTGTTCATTAGCTTCACGCTTGGGGACTTTGTGGCTTTGAGAACAAATCAAATAGATGGTAATTTAGCAGCACAAAAATTGACTGAGCATGAAAAAACGGATCAGAGGAAAGGCATGTCTGTAACCCTGCAGAACAGCAAAGATATTCAAAAGCTGACATGGATTGGTAGTTAATTAAGCATTGGTTTTCAAAAGCAAGACTGAAAAAATGTCAGTTATTTGAGCAGACAGCTGTTGCTTATCAGTGAACACAAAGAACTCTGTTAAGGCGGTTTGGTTACAGTGTGGCTCAACACAGGCCTCCCTGCGCTCAGAGATCGGGCTGGGGCCACTTATTTCTCCCTTGTAAGCCCTCTGAAAATACTAAACAATACAATGTTCTTTTTTACTTGGGTTGAATAAATAAATAAAAAGTGAACTTGATGACTACTACTGCTGTGGCTTGTGTAGGAAGCAGTGAGACATTTTGCTATAGCACATTCAGAACAAGAATGTGGAGCCAATTATTAACTTTTGTCAGCATGTCTACAAAAACATTATCTAAATGATTGAAGTTAATATATTTTTTTAAATTCTTGTGAAGCAATGGTCAATGTAAGATTAGCATTGTTCTAATATGGTGGCAAACAACGTCTGCTCTCAGGAGATACAAACAGACCAAGCAGTCTCTTGGCAGGAGGCCATCAGTAGACGTTGACCACATGGCAGAGCTCACACTGCGACACCTTGCCTGGTCACAGTCGAAAATACACAAAATTAATTATATAGTGGTTCATATTTGTAAAACATCAAATGAGAGTACTAGCTTTTGGTTCTGATTCTGTCATGTGGGAAGGTGCTATTCTTATTATGGGATCAAAAAGGTTCCATATGTTTATTTATATTAATAATCATGTGTTTTATGTTTAATTTTTTACGCTTTTTATGCCTTTATTTTATAGTGACAACTGAAGACACGACAGGAGGAGGCGGACAGAGAGAGGGCAGAACACGGGCCGGAATCAAACCTAGGCCACTGCGGCAAGGACTGAATATTGGTGCACGGGGCACACGCTCTACCGGGAGAGGTTCCAGGGAGCCCCATAAATATTTGTCACATACTTTCACTATACTGTTCACAAAAAGACTCCACCTGTACTAGACTTAATGGACCATAAAGTAACTTGATAAATTTAATGAGTTAGTTTTGATCTCATCTGATCATTTTTCACCACTTTCTGTAGACCAAACCATTTATGTATTTAAGTATTCATAAGACTTACTAATAGTTGCCAAAAATCCTCCAGGATATGTAGCAGATTCTAGTATGTGATGCAGGTCAAGCAAATACAAGCACTAATGCAAAACAGCTTTTGGAATGAACCGAATATCAGAGACCCAACAAAGTACGAATACCTGTGAATGGATTCTTTCCTTTAATTATTCCTCTGAGGGACATAATGCCGTTATGCTGGTGGTTTGGCAGGCCATCTACTGGATGATGACAGTGATGTAATCATGCCTCATCAGCACAGAGTACATAGTGTCTTCATTAACCTTTCAAATGTCATGACTTCATCCATAAAGCTTCCAAAGCTCCATCCCAATGGCCCAAGGCAGAAAACCACAAAAGTTTTTCAACTGCTGCTCGATTCCTTTAAAAACCAACGATAATCCCTTAACCTGAGAGGAAAGATATCTTAAATTATTAACATTTAAGACGTACACGATTTCAGAAAATCCCAGCTGTAACCAGTTTTGTCTTATATTACTCTATGTACTGTACATCTGTTCACGAGTGGAGAGATATTCCACTGTCATTTACCAAGTAAGTAATTAAGCAATATGACCAAATAAGGAAACAAACCCTCCACTCGCTCTCTGCCCAAAGTAAAATCTAGTTTAGCCAAGCTCATTTCTGTCTTTGTGACCGGGCCTCTAAGTGTGAACCTGTCCGCCCCTGCCTCCTCCCTGGAGGCTCAGGTGGCCCACAAGCTCCGTGCCTGGGTTATTCCAGGAATGCATGTCACTAAGTGGGTCATAATCACAGGGGAAATCGGCAGCTTATGTAGGACATGATGGCTTGTTCATTGAAGGAATTTGTTTCTTCGTCTCTTGAATTCAGAGACTCGAGTATGAAAAGCTACGGACAAACATCTGTAGATGTTTTAGTTGGAATGAGCCAGATTAGTGTGAGATTGCGTCCTTTTTTACGTTGATGACTGTCATGTCACCACTGTTGATGTTAAGACATTTTAGACTCCTTCAGATCCAGTGGGTAAAATCCACTACATTACAGCATACTGTAACATACATATTTATCACAAAGTAAACTATCAATTTAATAATTTAATAATTTGGTTTCTTGAAAGATGATAACAAGTTGTTAGGAGTAAATGACAAACACTTACATAGATGAGGCCGGAGTAGTAGCGGTCTTTGAGGTTGTGAAGCACGGAGGCTTCGTTCAGGCAGGTGAGTTCAGCCATGTCCTCGACTTTGCTGAACTTTGGCGGGTTCATCTTCTGGATGTCATCCTTGTTGACCACCGCCTTCTTCCCATTCTCCGCCAGCTCCACCACCACCTCATCTCCACGCTCCTCACGAACACTGGCAGCCTCGAAGCCGTGGCGTTCTGATGGGATCCATACTAGCCTCTTGGCAGTCCAGTCGGCCTGTGCGGCCGGATTGTAGACCACTGCGCGGTCCACAAAGAGGTACCGCTCCGGATCCTCCTGCCCACTCCTCTGTGACATTGCTGCTGGAAACCAGAAGCAGAACACACTAGGTCACCTGTAGGGAGGAGAGAAAATATAATGTTTATCTGACCAAAAACAACAACAAAAAAGAAATGCTACATTTCAAATTCAGCTGCTGACTAATGTCATTCACAGATGAGATCACCACTGTGACTCAACACTGTAGTGTAAATGATCCTCTTACTATTCCTTTCTCACCACAGACATGTTGACGTCATTGTAGGAAAAGTACAGGTCTCAACAGTTAATAACAATAACGTTAATGATGGCTCTGTTCTAATCAAATGTGTCCCAGTAAGTTTGACAGTGAGCCAGCATGAACAATACCAGGACCCTGAAACTAAAGCAGCTACATAGAATTCATCCATCATTCATCTTCATTATTGACACCTGTGCTTTTCCAATTGTGACAATGTCAAAATGTCTTTTGTGAAAAATCTGTGATCTGTGTTACGGCAATAATTTCATTCTGTCTTAAACGTAGGCCTGTGTCAACTTAGTTGCCAGTTTAGTCACATAGATAAAAGTGTGCATCCTGGTCGTGGTTCATTTATAAAACCGTGTGTGACTTCTGGCAGCGCTGTCAGCTGAAGGGTAAACAGGGTGACACTGGACAGTAGTAGAGGAGGTTGTCCCAGAGTCTGGTTCAAAAGTGCTTTAGCTGACTTTGCTAATATTTAGCACCAGAGCTGAAAGCGTCGGAGCAGCCAGAAGGAACAAGCCGCCCTGCGTTTCCATCTCCTGTTCTCCTTTTAATTCCATTACAGTTAGTTTTGCAGTTAGGATATTTTGGGATGGGACAATGTTTCTCAAGTTTATAGCCTGCCATGCTGTTATCACGCGCTGCTCTGTGTATAATTAAGCTGCTTCAAAAAATAAAATGCTTAAAAGGGCTTCTCGACCTTTAATTCAAATCGTTGATATTTAGGGGCCAGCCCTAGTTGAGTGGCACACAACAATGTAGCAATCTCCTGTCATGTAATTCATTTTATGTCGTTCTTTTATCACAATATAATACATTTTCTGGAAAAGCCACTGGACAGGAATATCTTAAATCTAACTTCATATAAAAATCCAATATCGCCATAAAGTAGGTCCTGCTCATTGGTTTGGAGAGCTACCATGGTACAACTGGTACAGCAACATTTCTGATTTCTAGGTATAGTTCAGTTTATGGCCAAGCCCTAATATCAAACTACCTAGAGTAGATCTAACTGTTCGGTGGTAGTACCAAGACTAACATTTTGAAAATTTTATGTAGGATATTGATTCAACAAAGCTGCGATCAATACAGCTGAATGTTGAAGCTGATGGTAAATCGCTTTATGGATGATGCAGCTTCTCCCACGACTGCTAAATAAAACTGTGTTTAAGTGACTGGAATCCTTAATATAACAAGATGTTAGGCTTTCAATAGGTAATGCTCTCATTTCTAACGTTTGGCTTAGTGACAATATGGAGCATTACTGTTTAATTGAAGAGATATTAAGGTTTAATAATAAGTATAATGTAGGGCATGATTGATGAAGTGTCACAGCTTATCCATAGTGGTTCCCGCTTGCCTGTCAACACTCAGCAGGGACTTTTGATGGCTAATCTTATATGAATGTACTACTAGTAGAATATAGGTCATCTAAAAACCCTTCTCTGTGTACCTTCGTGTATATACAGTAAGTGGAAAAGGTAAAGGAGCATAAAATACAACAAGACAAGTGACTCAATCAGCATTTACAGTAGAGTCTTCTAAATCATCGTCTTAGACAGTGACAGAATGAGCATGAGAGGGAGCACCTGTTGCGTTACTCATTTGAGCGAAACAAGATATTTTTTCTGACCAACTGAGAGAAATTTACACCAAATAAGGATTATTTTCTGTCTTTCTTTTGCTTTGGGGCTTTGTATTTTTCCCAGAAGGACTTGTTTGGCCCACACAGATTGGTGTGTGAGCTTCAAGCCTTTACACCTCCATCCCTGTGCATAACCAACCCACATGTACAGTAACTTCACCATTTAAGCCCCCTCAAAACCCAAGCAAACTCTGACTGTGTTGTGCAGAATCACACAGAAATTATTTTTTTCTGAACCCTAACCACGGCAATTTGTAGTAAATATTTTGATGATCTATTATCATTTACATAATTTTTCAAGCAAAAATGCAATTTCAAGTCTCTCAGTTGTGAGACTTTTTTTTTACTTATTTGATATTAAATATATATAAACTGATGATCTGACAAAGCAAGCAATTTAATAGTGAGGGGCATTTGTTTATCTTCTGGCATTATATAAAACAAACAATTAATAGAGGATTCGCTTTAGTTGCAATCCTTCTTGTGATTTAAGGAATGACTGGTGAGTGGTTTCATGCTTACATATATGATCAAAAACAGGATACAATCACACAATCAATACTAAAAGCAAACACACAAACTGAGCTGAAAACAACTTGATAAAACTTGGCACTTGATGCCCTCAACAGCTGATGCAGGGACAGATCTGAATGTGAGCCACGGCACAAAGCACCACTGCAGCTTGCTCCTTATTAATCTGAGACAACATCAGCTGATGAATGCTCAGAGATATTTAACCTACAACCAAGTCCCATGCTTAAATCAGGCGCTGGGTTACAAACGAATCTGGGTCAGGTCAAGAGATGGAGGGGATCAGTAAAGGGTTGCATCCCCTCACTCCGAGCTGGAAAACACCAACTTTCATCCCTTCATCCGGCGCTATATCGCGGGAATATGTGGCACAGCACTCCTCCGGTGGGATAATTCAACAGAGGAAGGTCAAGAAATTGCATTTGGCTGTGAAAGCGGCTCGTCACGGACTGAAATACCCCGGCTGGGCCAAACAGCTGCATCAGCTAGGTTAGCTTGCTAGCGTTAGCTCAAAGTTGGCGTGCTGTGCTTTCATATCACACCCGCTCGAAAAGATGCCTTCAAGGACCCGACAGCTCTCACAACGCAGCCCAATACAACTGACCGGACTGTACAGACCCTAAATAATACACACTTTACGGAATGTGGAGGTGAACATACAATCCCAAACAGTCCTAACTCCTTTATGAATGAGAGTTTTTTTTTTTGAAAGGATGAACTGAGCAGCCTCCTCAGATAATATCCCATCATGGGTGTGGGTGGTTCAAAGACGTCTGCGTGGAGATAAAAGCAAGCGGACAACAATGACCACACCGTTTCACCGTGGCTCCTACAGATTCAGCTTCTAAAACACATACCTGCAACAAAATATCTACGTAAGACTATATTAGACTGATAGAAATAGCACGGTGGCTCTGTGGCGTCGGCTAACATTAGCTGCTGCTCCTCCATCATTGAGAAGTCATGGCACAATAATCCGCTAGCTAACGGTTAACGCTTACTGTTGCTACCGGTTACATCCCGACTAAAAAACAAACCACCGGCTGAACTTACCACACACCGCAGACGAAGAGACCCTTTGCCCTGGTGTTTATCAGTATCCAGTCGGTAGATGTAATAATCCTCCGATGTGTGTTGAATTAGTCCCTTCTTCCGCCCGCTCTCTCTCTCTCTCTCTCTCTCTCTCTCTCTCTCTCTCTCTCTCATCAGTGGTACTCCCCCACCATCCAGCACCCTCTCAACCGAACTCTCGCCGGCCAGGGAGGATGCACCGCACCGCCGCACTCTTTTTTTTTTTGGGCAACGCCCACAACAGAATCCTGGAATGTGATTGGCTCTCAAAGTCTGGTGCCTAAGCGCGATTGGTCCAAAATAATTTCCATCCCAAAACTTTGATAGTTGACGACTGCCGCCCAAGATATCAACACCTGCAGACCGGTGGATGCTGCTGCTGCTGCTGCTGCTGCTGCTGCTGCTGCTGCGGATTTACATGGTTGTAGGACATTGGATTTGTCGCTGATGTTATTGTCAGCGTTTGGATAATGGGCACATATTTGTATTTGTTAATTTCATACAGACACATATATATTATTAACGTATCCTGTACTAATAGATCCTATACTACTGTTTACTATTTTATTATCTTATAAACTAGCTTTGTTTTTTAAATTGATTGCATATTTTGCACATTTGTTTTCTACTTACTGTTTTACTCACTCTCTCTACCTTACTTATACTTATCGCCATATATCTTTCATTTATCCTTTTTTTTTTTATCTTTATGGGTTTTTTTATGCTGCAACGTCTAATTTCTCCTCTGGGTATAAATAACATGTTATCTTACGTCTCATCTTATGTGTCTCATCTCTTTTTATTGTATTTATATTTTATTATCTTAAATATAAAATAATATATATATAATATAAGCGATGAGATCACAAAAATAAACCATGAGCGCATCAAAAACAGGAGGATGAAATTGAAGTTAAAAGGAAAGAAGAATGTGAAATTGCAAGAATAAAAAGATAAACCACAAGAAACATATGTTATTTCACAAAAGTCCTTTTGCTTTTCAGACTTACCACCCCTTGTTAGTGTGTTGAAATAGTGCCCTCTGTTGCACAAAGACAGACATTACTAATGCCACGTGCCTGTGTGTAAAATACAGTAGACTGATAATATCAGTGGGTAAACTGAACTAAAAGAAATGAAACAAGAGTGCAGAAAGGAAGGCTTGATACTCCCCATTTCCAGCGAACTTAAATGTGAAATTATATTGTTATAATTTATATTATGTTGTTTACCCACTAATCTATGCGCTTGTTCTGCACATAGATTCTTGCATCAAATCAAACTTTATGAATTGTATAGCATTCTCTGCTACATATGTATGCCTAATACACCTGAGTTATGAGAATCAGATTCATCTTTAACTTTGGGATTTATTAAAATTATATTATATTATATATATATATATAATTATTTAGGTGCCGTGTTATACATTCTTGCATGGATTGGGATAGTTTTGCTTGTCCAATCTCAAAAGTCCATCTATCTTCCAGCTTGCAATAACTGTTCATACTGTACCTTGTGACTTATTCATATATTGAATAAACAAGACATCAGTAGAGCTGGGATAACAAGTGCCTGTAGTTTTCAGCATTTTTATATTGAAAGTATTTATTTAAGGAGGTTTGTTTTCTAAAGCCCTATTCTTTTTCAATAATTATAATCTAAATGGTGCAGCTTGTGCATTGGATAACACATTTCCTTCTGTGGTTGGGTTAAACTCCTCCTCTGCTAACATCCTCTGACATCCACCTGGTACATTGTGCTCTCAGTGGTGGCAAGGAGCCCTTTCTTAGCCTCCAGCTCCAAAACCTCATAGCAGATCCTTCTCTGGGTACATACAACCTTTCTGTTTCTGAATGTACCACCTGCACACACACACACACACACACACACACACACACACACACACACACACACGTTGTGAACTTGTACCTGGTACATTTCCAAGTCTCCACACATTCAATGCAAGACCATTATTTCCAAAGGAAACAGTAGAGTGTGTTTCTTGTTTCCTGATATATCCTGCTATTTTTCCTCTCTTTGGTCTCTCAGCTTCTTATATGATGGATTTCTCTTTGTACATTGTTGAATGTCTTTACGAAAAGGCAAAAAAAACAAAACTAATGGATGCACAATTTGATATATTGTAAAGTTGCTATTAATAATTTTGCTAAATAATTCCCCTAAATGTCATTGTAGCTCCACAAGAAATAATCTGATGTAACCACATACTGTCCATATTTATCCTGCAGGAACAGCTATCTCCATTAATCTAAGTATTTTCATGTGGGTGTCTGAAAAATGATGATTGTAGCCAGAGCACCGCTGTTCACTGATACTGAAGTGATACAGTTTCATGTTGAGGACCTGCATTCAGAGGCCTTATATGTACAGTCAATTGCAAAGTTAGTGCTGTTTGATAAAAAAAATCCCTTAGGGGCCTAGACCATATGGCCCAGATGAGGTTGTTTGATATTACTTAATTCCAAACCTATACTCTAGATGCAAAATGAAACTAGTAATTTCTATGAAGATTTTCAGTCATGCAGGTATTATAACTCAGCTCCTCGTTTCTTTTATGTATTAGCATTAGGCTACTTGCATTAGAGTCACTGAGGTAACTAACCCCAGTTTCTCAATATTAATATAATTAATAATAATAATAATAATAATAATAATTACTGCACACTAAATGGTACAGGAGACAGTCAAACATAGGAAAATACATGCCTTTTTATTGTATTTATTGCAGCCTGGACTGAGAGTCTTTTTCAACAGTGCCGGTGGTTAATTAGCTAACGTTAGAGCAACTGACCTCAATGTATGCTAATATGAGAGAGGCAGCAACTTGGGCTCTAGTATTATGTCTGAGGCAAGTTGGCTTGCTGGTTGGTTGATTCATACCATAATAAACAATATTTTTTATGTTGATCAAAAACCCAAACAGTAATTTTAATGGCAGCAAAAAAAAGCTAGGTGAGCAAATTTTTATGCTTAGTTAAATAACCAGTGTGTAAAGTCAGAGATTCAGCATTAAGCTAGAAAACCAGTGCCTAGTGAAAAACAAAGAAAAACTGGGGTTTTTTAGATGTTGGGAGCCCTGAAATGTAGGAGACAATTTTCACAGCAGCCATTTTGACATGAAATAGTAATCACAGGTATTACCAATGATACTAATTAGGGTTTTGTTCTGTTTGGTGCAGCAGAGCCTTTCAGCCAGTAAGCACAGCATGCACAATAGCAGCACCCTGACTCTGTTCGACCTGAATTGAACAGAAATTATTTTCCTTTTTTTCTCTTTTCTCTTTTTCTTTATTTTACCACTTACTACTTTACTTTGCAGTAAAGTTTTAGTTAAAGTAAAGTTTTTTTTCTCCCTCATAACTGTGTATATATATATGTTACTGAAAACCATGGTCATTTATTGAGCATCATCAGCATTGCTGTGAGTTCGTTTTGGGGGTTTTGGGGTGTTGCTTTAAAGAGTAACAACAACTTTCCCAAAGTTCCCCTTCAAAGCAGCTTTAAAGTGATTATATCTTGTGATTGTCTTTTACTATATTCCATTTCTGAAATGTCCATATTTACTCGTTAAAGATACACAATGGTTTGTGTGAATTCCCTTACAGATAAGGTCTGTGTGTTAGAAAATCAAAGATTACATTATTACAAAGAGATAACTTTGGCAAATCGCACACTTTAGCATGAGCCTCCGACCTTTTTTAAAAGCAGCCTTCATACAATTTCACCTCATATGCCCCTATTACTCAAATGATTTAAACACAAAATGCCTCATGTTATTTGAAGTGCAACAGACAGTAGAGGGCAGCAGCAGTTAAGGTAAAGCTTTGCAGACCTCCAGCTTGACAGAGATCCGGACAGCTGTCTTTTGCATTTGTTAATCACTCACATACACTGTGTGAAACACAAACTACAATTAATTTCATTGTTTAACTCATGAAAGTCAGTCTAATTTCTGTCAGTGGCACAGTGGTGTGGTTGAATTGTATGTCTATGTGTCCATTTGTCCTTCACTCACAGTATCACTTCATATATGAACCACTTACTGATTGCCACACAGATTAATTAGTCACAAAATAGTAGACTGAGTATATTTCTTTTTTAAATGTTATGTCACATACTAAGGACTGGCATAGCTTGAGTGACAGATGCAAGATGTCTGATTGAGTTATTTCGTCTTGTCTGACGAGTGACAGAGTGACACCCTTTGGTGTGGCGCATTTTGCAAAATGCTGTGACAGCTCCATCTCTCAATTGTTGGCTTCTCCAGTCGCCTCTGTGGCATAATAGACCTGTCATCAGCATCGTCCTCCACCATCCCTCTTGTGCTTTTGTCTAGACAGCAGTTTATCAAACATCTCCATCCTTTTTCCTTTTTTTTTCTTCAAGCGTAGATAAGGAATGTCAAATGTGGCGTTTTCAATACTACAGTGCCAGATTGGATACAGATAAATGTTTGACCTCGTTGGGCACTGTGTTCGGTTTTCTATAGATTGATGCGCTCTCTTGGAACTTGCTCACTGCAAAAATCTCCATCTTAATAAGTAATTTTCTTCGCCCCACTGAAGTAAATGATTCTACCCATTTCCAAAACAAATCGTCCTGCTTGAAATATTTTCTAGAATAAAGTGTCATTCCTCTTGATTTTATTTGGTAGTCTGTCCTTATCTTGTGTTCATTTTTAAGTAAGTCAATGTCTATTAGAAAAAATAGTCTCAACAAATTAATATTACACATTGTGATTATTTTATGTTGAGACAGCATTATGACTATCATGCAGAGATAAAATGAGAGAAAATAAAATGGAACAGTTAACTAAATAAACAAAATATTAATAAATCCACATAATTTAAACATATTAGAGACATTTTCATGAATGAATTAACCAATTATTGGTTAAGAATTAAATATTTTGTGAACACAATTTGGTTCTGCATAAAGTATTTACAGTGGGGATTTATTTAAAAATGTATAGGATTAAAAAAACAATGAAATATGATTGTGTAGCAGAGATGATGCAGAACTGACAGTAATGACATTCTGATCTATTTCCATTCCTACCCAGGTCATCCTCAGCTTCCTCTTTACCTGACAAACTGTCTGCTGCAATGTCCAGAGGAAGTTTGTGGAGAAGCAGAGCCTTCTCATGCTTCTGACTGTATGTTAGGGCTCCAAATTTAATCTAAATATTATCGAGATCGCAATATGGCATAATGAGTAAATATTTATAAGAAAACAAAACAATTTTGATTTAAATCGCTTTTTAGTAATATTTTTTATAAAATGATGATACCAAAATGATCATTCCCACTAATCGTGAATCATATCACAACCGTGTATCTATATCTGTCAAAATAGTTGCAATCTTGCCATATTATGTAGCCCTACTATACTGTGTGTATACTTTTTCCATACAGAAATACACATATTTCTTTTTCAGAGCTTGTGCCCTGTGACCATTGCAGCTGCATCTCTTCAGTGCGAGCAAGGCATATACAGGAAAATGGTCGACAGAGAAAAGTATAGAACGAAATGATACCTTAAAGCAGTTATATCACAAAAGAATTATCAAAGAACAACATAAACAAGATCCTTATGTATCTTGGGTATCCTCTGAGTATACAAATATTGTCTGAAATGACAATATTTGTATATTCAAGCTCCATGTATGGAAATTCTATACAATGAACTTATTATACATATTAAAGACAGCTTTATGTATGTCCACAAGTTATCTGTCATGTCTGTGTTACCCTGTGGGAGCAGATAATGATCTGAGCTTCTAGTCTTGCAGTGTTTCTGTCTTTCTTTTTATGGCAGGTTCATAAAGCCTGAAATAGTAGGTATGCAGGTTGGCTGAGCATATTAACTTTTACGTCAACACCTTTTTAACAGTTTAATAGAACAGCAGAAACCAAATAAAAACAACAGACAGTTTAATTCATTCAACATTCATTGTAATTTGACAGTGAATTGCAGGCTCAGTGAAACCAATCACAGGCAGGTAGAGATCCGATGCTACTTAAGTTGCAGAGAGTGTTTTGATTTTTAGATGACATTGTATTTTATTCCATGACGAACCGCACAAACAGCAAAGGCAGTCTTTCCTAGACCAGTTCTGGTTCAGTGCTCCTGGAGCATTAAAGCAGTCACTGGAGCGTGTTAAATATTGAGTGCCATAGCAGCAAAGATGAGATATAAGATAACAATTTTCCAACAATGTTGCATCAGTACCAGTGGTTATTACATCTCTCAGACAGGGGAGGCTAACCAACTTTACCATATAGAAAGCAGTGGTGAACTGGAGGGCAGAGTGGTAAATTAAATCTAGGGGCCTCAGAGGGGAGGCAGCAGCATGTTAAAATCTGAAATAACCATAATCCAGAACTCAGAGGAAAACTGGTGCAACAATATTATTTCTACAAGGCAGAGGGAAGCTGCTTCTGTTTCCATACAAATGTCTGTCACAGTTTACCAACAAGGTTTTCTACGTGATATTTAAAGCTAGAGGCCGAGATAGCTAGATTCTGTGTCCCTTTCAATAGTGCAGAAATATATACTATTGTCATGTATATCTCTAGATCCCCATGAATTATTATTTTATTTTATGATTACTACGTTAATTTAAGAAGTACTGATTTAAGGTTAATAAGAATATCTTACAGTTCATTAAACCTGAATTAATTTATTTTCTGGCCACTTTGGCACAGCAGAACACACGACGTTGACGTCAACTAATAAAGCTAAGGTGGCTTTAATCATTATTTTTTATAACAGTGGATCAAATGAGTGTTTAATGAGAAAGGGGTTGCTTTTAATGACAAACCAACAGAGAATTATTACCTGACTCTGTGGTTCCCCTCAGCCCCATGGAGCATTATTCAGCTCATTGTTTTCATTTCCTAGCCCACAACTTTATTGTTTTGGTTCTCTCTAACTTAAACTCTCTTTACCTGGTCAGCACCAAATGACAAATAAGCAGTGTTACCAACCTCCAGAGGTGGTTTGAACAATCAGATTTTAATCCATCTAGTATGCATTTACACTTTTTTTCAATGGGATAGCTGTCCAATCGAGCCAGGAGGCATTGTCTCATTATCCATTATTATTATAAATATTAATCAGAGTCGCTTTGAACGACTCCTCAGTGATTTCTCAGTGAATAAGTGATCAACAACACAATAAATTGTATCATCTGCATATAGGCGGATTTTACAGCAAATTTTTCAAATATGTTGTACACATGCTGAAGGAATGCATCTCTATAATAATAATAATAATAAAAAGTTTATAGATCTATTTTGATGTGCATATGTGTCTCTTACAAAAGGCAGAGAATTCATTACATACATCTCCCTCACTGAATGTGTCAATATGTGCGCTCAGGCATATGGAGATAGTGTGTAGTTGTGTGTGTTGGGAGAGGGGGGTGTTCTCTCTTTACCTTCAGATCTCTCCACCCCTCTCTCTCCCTCTCTCTCTCTCTCTCACTCTCCCTCTCCCTGTCTGTTTTCTCCTCACCCGGCTCTCATTCCATCAGGTCCTCACAACACACACACCACAGCCTCCAAACGCCTCATCTCCTCCACCAGAGCGACAGGATCAGAGAGAGGAAGAGTGGAGGTGACGGGTGAACAACAGCAGCATCACTGACAAGCGTCTCCCTCACCGGGGGAGCGAGGGAGTAAGAGGTGGGGAGAGCAGAAGTGCAAAGAGTGAGGAGAAAAGAAAAGAGGAGAGAGAGAGAGAGAGAGAGAGAGAGAGAGAGAGAGAGAGAGAGAGAGAGCAAAACAGTGAGAGAAATAAGTTTTTAGTTGGAGGGAAGACAAACAAGGGAGAGTTTGGAGTAAGAGAGTGTGGTGGGTGGCAGTCGGGGGACTGGGAGCTTCATTTTCCCTTTTCTGTTCATCGGCTGTGAGCACCGCTTGCCTCCTCTCTTGTCCTTCTCCCCTTCCTCCTCCTCCTCTTCTTCCTCCTCTCTCCTCCTCTTCTCATCCCGACTCCTCTCCCAGCTCCCGCCGTGGGGTCTCAGCTCTCCGTCTCCCTCCCCCCCTCCCTTGCTCCCTACCTCCCCCGGGCCCTCCTGGGAGCCTCCGGGCTGCTGCGTCGCAGGAGGATGTCTCGCAGGGAGTCTCCGCCGCCACCCTCGCCACCTCCACCTCCACAGCTGCTGGGAGTGCGGAGAGGAGAGGTGGAGTGCGACGATCGTCCAGAGCGCGCCGAGCCTCTGACTGATGCCGAGAGGGAGATCATCCAGGACTCGTGGGGGCACGTCTACAAGAACTGCGAGGACGTGGGAGTGTCTGTGCTCATAAGGTGAGTTTAGTCAAGAGGTGATAGCAGAGGGTTTTATTGTCACTGTGTCTCAGTGTGTGTAAACTTTTGAACAAGAGATGAGTGAATGCATTCTTTACAGAGTAAGATGCTTAAGTTTAAGGCTGTGTGTGCTGATGTCTCATGTTTCAGCTTTCTCTGTCTCTTGCTCTGTTTGTGAATCCTGGTATTTTCTATTAATTCTCTGGAGTCAATTAATCTTCCAAGGCATCCTTAACAAATAGTGTTTGGAAAGTTAAGTAATAAGTTGCACACAATTCTCCTGAAATAAAAATGTAAAAACTTTGTATAAAAATCCCCCCAAAAAATTAAACACACCTTTTTATAAAATCATTGTTTATTGTACACTGTGAAACATTTCAGGTGATGTTTGCTTGACTTTCTTCTCCACCGTAACGCTAAAGGCTCATTGAATTGGTTATGATAAGTGCTTGACATCTCTGCTGAGGTAACTGGATAATTGCTTTGAGTGAGGTCTTTCTTAACTCTTTTTTGTTGCTGGTGAATATCCAAAAAAATACAGAGACCACTTGCACCAAATGTGGTGAAAAGTCACCAGTAGCAAAAAATATTTCATGCAATATTTTAAATGAAAAAACAAAAACAAAATAGGGATTTCTGAATATTGCATCAAAAGTATAGATTATACATTAGCAGTTGTAGCAGGAATCAGTGAGGTTTGATATAAACTTGTGAAATTTCATTACTATCAGATTTAAGAAAAACCTGAGTAATTTTAGTGTTTTTCACTTTCCTCTCCATGTTGTTTTTCACCCAACATCAACAATTGTAAATTTTAATAATCGTATGAATACATTTCAGAACACTTTTTTTCTTTTAACCTTTAACCTTTGTGTAGAGGTTATGACAGATGACATTTTGTCACACATTAATAATGTTTTATGTGCAATGAACTCAGCAGTGCACAGTTCAGGTTACTGTGCTGATGTTTTGGAGGGTGTTGGGTTTACTGATGATGTTAAACTGCTATAGAAGTTTCTTAATTATTTGGTTAAGTAGCTTCTTGCCAGCTTCAGCTTTAGGTACACAGATTTGTGTAGGGAAATTAATTGAATTGAATGAATTTGATTTGAACTCTAGAAGCAGAGTATGACTCATATAATGCAAATACTTTGTGTACCTAAAAACCCGGACGTTCTTCCCAGATTTTTGGGACATATATAGGCTTAGATGAAAAATGTCTCCAACGTGCAATTTTAAGCAATGTAACAGGGATATCAGTCTGAGGTCAGAGTAGATTATTACGGGAAACAAAAAAACATAATGGTGCATCAAAAGGGAGTCGTCAATATAAAAATACTCAGTATAAAACACACAACAACTTAGACACACAGTCATCCATCCCATTCACAGCTACAACACCATGTCAATCAAACACTACCAACATCACATCTACTGTAGCAAGCACCAGTGTATGTAGAAATACTGTTAACAAAAATGACATCTATGGCCGATAATACATAAAGAGCAGCTTTAACAGCAGCTGAAAATCTTGTTTTTGCTGACCTCCAGTGGTTTCATCTTCTACACAAACACACACACACACACACACACACACACACACACACACACACACACACACACAAGAAGATAGATCAGCAACGGTTTCTGACCCATGTAGGAAACCCAGTGACAACAATAATGGAGGCTGCATTTTGCATGGGCCACACACACACACACACACACACACCTACACCTACACCTACACACACACACACACACACACACACACACATACACACACACCTACACCTACACACACACACACACACACACACACACACACACACACACACACACACACACACACACACACACACACACACACACACTCACACACACACATACACACACCATCTTCTGTACTCATTCCCTCAACCTCTCACCAATAACTGAGCTGTGACAAGTCTAGGGAAGGAAAGAACATTACATTCCTCTCTCATTAAGATGCTGAAGAAATACTCCGTAATCCACGGCTCCTCACAACAGTATGACGAGATACCCAACGTCTTTGAATGTATTGAATTTGTGCCTCATGCATTTACATTTATTGTAAAATTCATGTATAGATGAGAGCATATGCCTCATACATTTTCATCTTTAGATATACTGTGAGAACCTTTTTCTTGTATTATTCACGACTGCTGCTGAACCATTGCTACTGTCTTCTTAAGTTGTCAAAACATATCCAGAACCATAAAATCAAACACTTTCTCCAAGAGCATAATCTTCAACAGGCAGTAATTCTCTGTGAAGCTTCGCTGCAAAGTGTTGCAGACTAACTGGATGTAACACAGCTTGACTGTGTTTTTCTTGCTTCTTTTCATGTTTTTTTATATATCAAAGAAGAAAGACTTGATTCGTTTGAATGTCTCCAGCTAAACTGTCTCAGTGTTACACTAAGAAAGCCCTTAAGGCCTTGTTAAAATGGACAGCAAGTCGTAGCCAAGGAGACTGATATGAGTGAGACAAACTGATTTTCGGTTTGGGGTGACGAGAATCCCTGAGGGAGAAAGTGGAAGGGGCAGAGAGCATGTTTTCGTGTGTGTGTGTGTGTGTGTGTGTGTCTTGTGTAGCTTATCTGTGGATGACAGCAACAAGCTTTGGCACTTACGTAAATGTCTCCCTCCATGCCTCGCTATCTGTCCTCTCCTCTGTCACGCCTTTCAAATTTCTTATATATTTTACTCCATGGATGATAAGATGATATTATTCTTTCAAATCTCAGTTGGTTGTGATGACCATCAAAATCATCATCAGAGCTGGCAAGCACATTATATATCCAGGAATTTGTTCTGCTGACTCTGGTGTAGATACATACTGACAACTTAGAGGTTCTCGTAGCTGAGGAGCAACAGAGAAGACTTAAAGTGTTAACAGGGTGCAAGACAAACAATGACAGAATACGCACAACTAGAGCTGCAGCTGATGATTATTTTAATTATGGATTTAATCATACTTAGTGCCATTCACAAATACCAAACCAGGAACAGACATCAGCTTTGACAATCATTTTCTAGAATTAATTATTTGTAGTTAGTCTATACCATTTACCGTAAAACTTCTAATACTAGCCTGGGCGTTTATTTGCTTAAATCACTGAACTCCCCCTGCCTTTATTGAGGACAGGCCTCTATTTGGGACAGGCGTTTAATTCCTTTAGTAAAAAACTAAACTAAACTCTAATTGCAGCTTCTCTTGAGTTTTATTCAGCAAATTTGACAACTAACATGATGATTATGATCACTTCATATGTTTTTTCTCATCTCTCTTGTTTACTGTGTTACCGAATGAATTAACATTATACTTTGGTGTTGATAGTTTTCGTAAATTATAGTGAACGTTTGAAATGTGGAGAATCTTACTGATCTAACGATGTGCATTATGTACATATTGACAGAAGTAGGAGATCGAAACGACTTAAAATTCGCTCAAGCAGGCGACCCGCTGGGTTTTAAGAGGTTTTATACATCAAGATAGTTTCTATAAAATCCTGACGAGGCCTCCATTAGAGACCTGCGTTTATTTGTCAAAAACGTGTAGCCACACCAGGCTTTTAAATGAGACCTGCGTCTATTAGGGACCCTGCTTTTATTGGAAGTTTACGGTATGTAAGCTTTTGCCCAAAGTGAAAAAGTTGGGAAAGAGTTGTTACACATTTCAGGAATTTGTTTATTTGCTTTCTTGCTGAGAGACGAGAAGATTGATACCACTCAAACTATGAACTAAGAAGCTACAGCCAGCAACTGTTTAGCTTAGCGTGGAAGAAAGAGTCAAAGAGTAACAAAATCCATCTACCAGAACCTTTGGTTGTCTGGCAACCTCATGTTGTCGACAAGGCATCAACCTTCTTATCTAACTCTCCACAAAAAAGCCAAGTGTCAGATATTCCTTCCTCATTGCCAACTGTTTGTATGTTGGACATCCCTAACAGATTATCAAACAGTGATTTAATGCAGAAAATAGTGAAAAACAATATTCCAGTGGCCAAGGTGACGCTTTCACCGTTTACACACCTATAAGATAGTAGTCGAGTATCAGTGAGTTTTTGGCATTTTTGCTTGATAAATTATTCAATCGAAAATCCATTATCAGTGTTGTTGAAGTGATGATGAAGTGATGATGAACTCAGATCAGATTTTTTTTCATGACACAGCACAAATCAAATAGATTCTGATCTTTTCAATTTTGATTCAGGCCACTTTCATATGTGGTCCAGATCAGATACAGGTCTGATGTTTTGCAGTGTGACCTCAGTGTGAACAGTCATATCAGCATTAATGTGACTTTTACGTCACATCTAGATTGACATGTGTCATGCAGGTCACTGAAAGGCTGTGACCTGTTCACACAGGAATCTGATATGTTCCACATTTAACAAATAATTTGAACAGCCAAACAAAAAATTAAATAAAATCAGATTTGACAGTGTGAACGTAGCCAAAGAGTATAAGCATCAACAATTGGCTGGCAGTTCCTCAGTTACCTAACATAACCTGAGGCTGACACTGGGTCAAATTCTTGCACGGTTGAGATCAGTGCACAACATCCCCATGTGAACATAGATTTGCATTTTTATGTCAATCCATCTGCCTGGATGCATGTAGAGAACAGACAATGACAATAGCCTCAGTTGATCTCACCAATGCGTACAAATGCAATTGCACCAAAGAGTGAGCGCACCCCAGGCATCAGCAGAACAGTGCATATGGCAGCTTTGTGAATACAATCAAACCCTGCATACATTCACTCAGTAGTATAGTATTGTTGTAGTGAGGGTGCTGATGGGAGGATTCAAGCACATATTCACCAAGCAGAAGATAATTAACTGAGTCTAATTTCTCTCTGAATTCCCTGTGTTATATAACTCTACCTTGCGATCCACCAGGACTTGTGTAGAAAATCTCAAGCATGAAAATGCATTTAACATATTGCACATTCATCCCAATGTAGCATCGTAG